TATCCAAAGTATACTTAAGGCACTATGAAATGGCCCCTAGGTCTATTTTATCCAAAGTATACTTATGACACTATGAAATGGCCCCTACGTTTATTTTATCCAAAGTATACTTAAGGCACTATGAAATGGCCCCTAGGTCTATTTTATCCAAAGTATACTTATGACACTATGAAATGACCCCAAGGTCTATTTTATCCAAAGTATACTTAAGGCACTATGAAATGGCCCCCTACGTCTATTTTATCCAAAGTATTCTTAAGGCACTATGAAATGGCCCCTAGGTCTATTTTATCCAAAGTATACTTAAGGCACTATGGAATGGCCCCTACGTCTATTTTATCCAAAGTATACTTAAGGCACTATGAAATGGCCTCTACGTCTATTTTATCCAAAGTATACTTTAGGCATTATGAAATGGCTCCTAGGTCTATTTTATCCAAAGTATACTTAAGTTACTATGAAATGGTCCCTAGGTATATTTTATCCAAAGTATACTTAAGTTACTATGAAATGGCCCCTACGTCTATTTTATCCAAAGTATACTTAAGGCACTATGAAATGACCCCAAGGTCTATTTTATCCAAAGTATACTTAAGGCACTATGAAATGGCCCCTACGTCTATTTTATCCAAAGTATATTTAAGTTACTATGAAATGGCCCCTAGATCTATTTTATCCAAAGTATACTTAAGTTGCTATGAAATGGCCCCTAGCTGGTTTGGGTTAACCGCCACAGTGTTTCTGAGGATGCCACATCAAGGTGCGGAATACGTTAATCTGACGATAAAACATCATGGTGGAGGATGTGTTAAAGTTAATCTGAGGTGTTAATCTGTGAGGTGTTCGCTAAGTATCTTTCCACGTGGGGCACCTTCGTATTACCTAGGGGGTCTGAAACTTTGTAACTGTCTTGTCACTTGGGGCACCATCGTATTACCTAGGGGTCTGATACTCTGTAACTGTCTTGCCACTTGGGGCACCTTCGTATTACCTAGGGGGTCTGAAACTTTGTAACTGTCTTGTCACTTGGGGCACCATCGTATTACCTAGGGGTCTGATACTCTGTAACTGTCTTGCCACTTGGGGCACCTTCGTATTACCTAGGGGGTCTGAAACTTTGTAACTGTCTTGTC